TTTTTGGGTGATCCAACATAACTTATTTCAAAGGGACACTAATACGCGTAGTGCTAAGTTATTGCCTGAAAATATGTACGTATCTACACGTAGACCATGTTTTTTCCCATATTTGATTGGAGGGTTGGATTAACCATTCAGCTAAATGGTTCATCACATACATGAAGATCACCCACATTTAGATATAATTAAATTTGTTCGTAGATACGTCCATAACTTATAACTCACCAAAAAATAAACATAGATATTTCGATCATGCATGGAGAAAAAATAGCCCGTTATGCATTCGGAATTAGTTGCATGTCATTTGCGTGGAAGTTTCTTTCTAAATGCCACAAAGTAATCGAAGTAGACCGTGACACTCAACCGAAAAAAGGGAAAAAGAAAAAGTTGGGCATATGCTTGATGCTGAACAAACAAACTCTAAACGTAGCTTGTGTTGACAAGGAGAAACTCCAATGCGTGAATAACTCTAAGAACAAGAGTTAATATTATGCTACTAGGACCCATGGAGACAATTTAAGGTTGCTTTCCTTTTTCTTTCCTAATTAAAGAGAACCGAGCGATTACATCCAGAAAGCGGGCATGGATATAACGTTTGTGAATTTCGTCTATTGTTATACTTAGAGGTGGTAAATGGGTCAAGAACCCATTATTAACCCATATATAATGATTGTGGGTTATTAAATGGGTTAGTTTTAGTTTAAAAATAGACTTAAATAGGTCAATAATGGATTGGCCTATTAACTTAATAGGTATTAAATGAATGACAAATGGGTTACCTAACAAGCTTAAGTGAATAATAAACATGTTATTTTTATTTTATTTTAATTTTTTTTAAAATTATTTTTCTTTTCTTTTCTTTTTTTTTCTTCTTGCTCCGCCGGCAAGCTCATCCCTTTCCAGTGGCCGGCCACCGACCGTCGCCGTGGTTGGCCACCGGCGGGGAAGAAGAAAAAAGGAAAAAAGAAAAGGAAAAAGGAAAAGAAAAATAATTAATTAAAATATGATTTTTTAAAAATAAAATTAAAGAATATTAAAAAACATTTTCATTTTCCTAAAAATACTTTCTAGAAATGTCATATTTTCCGTGAAACAAAAGGAGCCTCAATTTTTTTTAAAAAAATATATAAAAATTATTCACTAGATTTGTATTGCATGAAAATGTTTTAGCAATATAATTTTTTAAAAAAATTATCAAAAATAAGCTTTCCTAGATTTAGTTAAATGGGTCGGGTCGGGTATGAGTCGAGAAATTTGTCTCGCAATAAATGGATTATAAACAGATTAAATGGGTCAAGTTGGGTTGGACCATTTATGATCCGACTCAATCCACCCGTTTAACAGCTTTAGTTATACTATAAAGCCACCCACAAAGTCCCTCCTGAAGAGACTCACAACCCAACCCAACGGAAGATCCCAATCCCCTCCTCTGTCAAAAAAGAGAATAATACTTTTGGTGGGAAAACAAAGGAACTTTAAATGGGTGGAGACGATATAATAGAGAGTGGGTATGGCACGGAGGCCGAGCTAAGGACAAGAGACGTGCCAAGGAGGACAGAGAGGAAGAGGAAGAAGAGATGAGGATGTCGGTGGAGAGGGTTTTCGAGAGCAAGGAGGTCCCGCCATGGAGGCAACAGCTGATGGCAAAGGCCTTCATAGTGAGCTTCGTGGTCAGCGTCTTGTTCAGCTTCATCGTGATGAAGCTGAACCTTACCAACGGGATCATCCCGTCCCTGAATGCGTCCGCTGGGCTCTTGGGCTTCTTCTTCGTCAAGACTTGGACCAAAGTGCGAGAGAAGTCTGGGATGTTGCAGGTCCCCTTCACGAGGCAAGAGAAATTTAGACCTGTGTTGTCGCCTCTTCTGGGCTCCCTTCTAGCGGTAACGACCCCTGCCCATTTCTTCCCATTAATTTTATTTCTGTAACTGTATAACATTGTCCATTCTTCTCTCCGGGAAGCTACTTGTTGGCAATGAGCCATAACTTGGCCGACAGTTCACAGGAGTATAAGAAATTATCATTGGCCTGGATGATCGGATTCCTCTTTTTTTTTTTGGGTCTGTTATCAGATTCCTCTTAAATGTGAGTTTTATGGGGCTCCTGGCAATGGTGCCTCTCAGAAAAATTACAAGTTTTAACGAACAAAATGTAAGATTTTGTAGGATCACTGGCTGTTCTACAAAACATTCAAGGACCTAGGTCTTTCTACTAGTGCGTATTTTAGAGATACGGGATGCTCGCCATCTTCGTGATGGGATCGTGATGTCAAAATGAGTTTAAGGGGATCTTAGAGATAATTAGGGATTTTTCTAGAAAAGAGATATTTTGATAATTTTGTTGATTATTTGTATCTCTTGAAATTGCACATCACTGAACGTACATTGCACGTACATGGCACAAACATTGCACGTAGATTGCACGAATATTGCATGTATAACTCCCTTTGATCGTACATATCTTGATTGAGGTATTATTTTTGAATATTTATCCAATAAAGCTTATATAAACAAGTCAAGTTAATAAAATTTATTACTCCAGTTCGACTCAACTCGAACACTTGCATCAATTCTAGATCAAAGAAGCAGCATTTGCTGTTATAAGGGAAATGAAGTGAATGCAAGTACAGGAATTCATATATGTAACGTGAAACAGCCATTATCTATGAGGAAGAGGAAGGGAAACAATGCTACTACCAAAATTTCCTAAAGCCAATTTTCTCTTTTGTAACCTTCCACTCTACATGGTCATATCATGAACTTGGTTGATATATGATAACGGCAAGCAACAATCTTCTTTCTGCTAGCACGCTGCTTATGACCGAAGCCAATGATAGAGTGCCAATGTGAAAGAAAATTTGAAGATGGTTCATTACACTTACCGCATAAGTATACATTGTTTTGGTCTCAAACTTCCTAGTCTCATGATAAATCCTTGACTTCTCCATATAAGAATCCAGTGCCATCCCAACCTCCTGTCGATATTCACTTGAATATGATATCCTCTGCCTCCGACGGTGTCTTTAAATGAGAATAAAGGTAACTTTGAAATTTATGACTCATGAACCGACGGTTAAAATTTATGAGACTCCAATAGAGGCATCGAGCTAGATATTTGATCCTTGCCCGTCTTTACTCTCATAAATAAATGGCAACTTCTATTCTGGCACTTACTCAGCCTCAACTTGAACAAGTGCCGTGGTTTGCACTTACCTTTTTGGCTTTGGATCACCGTCATCTCTTGTTAATTCGAGGTGACAATCACTTCTTCTCCTAGTATAGTTGTACATACACTATACAACCATTAGCGATTGATAACACAGTACGTCATGAGTCGATAGAGTCATGCCTTTCACAATCTTTTTTATATCATGTTGGAACATGCATGACATCCGCATAATATGATTATGACTTTTTGGATAATTTTCCTGTTTAATGACAATTTCACGTTTATTTTAACCAAAAGAAGTCAATCAAGGCAAATCAACTTTGTGCCTTTAACTTTCACAAGGCAATTTTTAGAAACGGATCTGGAAGCATAATGTATTTTCAAAATTTACCTATGAACATATATGATCACTATGCAGCACCATTTATGAATATAGTGTGATGAATTTGACCCGTATTTTGTTGAATCAAAGTCTAAGAATTGAATTGACATCCACGTGTGTATCTGAACAAGCACTGGGTTAAGCTATAGCAAATGGGCATTAATTTCCTCGTAATATACATAACTAATATTTTAGTAGTTTAAATATTATTTTTTTGGTAGAATATGTCAATTAATCGATGTGGAGAAGTTGTTTATAAGGCATTTTAATTTTCCTAATATCTTAAAACAAGCACGAGCAATCATTTCAATCTTAAAATTTATCTAATCAGTTCATAAATGCCCTTAACCACTTGCTGAGCATAAGGATTTCGATCCCGACTTGTTGTGATTAAAAGAAACGTTAAATTTTCTATGCATTAGCGATCTAGGCCATAATTACGGGTCAATCGAGGTAACCTGAATGAGCTAAAAAAAGGGGAATCGTTTGCCCAGGCTTGTCGATTTACCCATTGGGCTGAAAGGGCTTTAGCAATTCTGTTTAGATACGGTATATGATTTTAATTTTTGTGTTACCTAAAAAAATGATTGATAATGTGATTTTAGGATAGTGAATATATATTCCATTCAGTCTCCTACGTATTATTTTTCTCCTTAAATTTTAATCGAAACATTCCATGCGAAATAATTTTTCTAATGCACCTCTAACTATAAAATATTTGTCATTTAGGATTCCTTTACTAAAATTAATGATCATGCCCTAATAGGTCATTGGCTTGCCTAGGCCCGGCCGCGCCACAAGGGCCCAAAGGCACTGCTGGGCAGGTTTAGATAAAAGCCTATAGTTATAAAATGCTTACGGCGCTTTTTTTTTGACGCGCTTTCAACGTCTGCTTCTACATTTGACATAACTTAATTAGTCAACGATTTTATCAAAATTATCATGTACATAGTGTACTAAAAACTTTATAATTGTCCAAATTCAGTGTCGATAACAATGAAGTATTCAATTCTTGTTTTAAAAAAAAACAAAATTTTCGATCAATCGGCTAAGAGATGGGTGCATGGAAGCCGATACAAAAGAAAGGCTTAGTGGAGATTAAATCCATTTGTTTCTTAATTAACCATAATTTGATTGGAGGACTTGGAGGAGATTATCTTTAATGAATTTTATGAATGAGACTTCACTAAAATTAGGTTGTGTTTGTTTTGGCGAAAAATGAATGATTTGAAAGAAATTTTCCTTAAAACGATCGCTTTTTTCGTTTGAAATAATTAATCAACAAAAAAAGGTCCTCATTATAGGTAATAAATTATATGTATTATTCATTCATTTTTACAAGTAATATAAATGTCAGTTTTGTGGAAATATTTTTTAAATCGGTTATTTTTCATGAAACAAAAGAAATCCGAATAGAAATGTTTTTAAAGGAAGAAAGAAATTGAAAATGAAAATCAGGCGCGCTGGCCGGAGCGTGAAGTGAACGGCGAAGGACGGAAAGAGTTCGCTTCCCGCCATAATTTTCCGAAGCTGAAAGACGAGAATCTGAAATCGGGCGGAGGGGAAATGGGGCGAGCTCCGAAGAGCGCCGGGCCGAACCCTAGCGACGGCAACCCGGAGGCGGCGGAGCGGCGGAGGCTGAAGAGGCTCGCCCTCGCGAGGGGGGCGCTGTCGGAGGCTCCGGCGAGATGCGGCGCCCCGCTGGGCCCTTCCAAGACGGCGCTGAAGCACCACGGCAAGGACATCGTCAAGAGGTCCCAGCGGAAGAACCGCTTCCTCTTCTCGTTCCCTGGCCTCCTCGCCCCGATCGGCGGCGGAAAGGTCGGGGAGCTCAAGGACCTGGGCACCAAGAACCCCGTCCTCTACCTCGACTTCCCTCAGGTTTCGCGCTTTCCGGTTCCGTTGTTTCGATTGCCGTACGGTTTGGTGCCGGCCTGCCGGGGTAGCGATTCGTTCGATTCCTCTGTGATTCTGTTTGGAGTTTGATTGAAATGGCAAGAGACGAGGCAAAATTGGGAACAGAAGAATCTAGGTTGGATAGAGAATGGGGGGTTGATTCTTTTTTAGATCGAACTTTGTATGTTTAGCTGATGAATCAAGAACAGAAGCGGTGATTTCCCAATTTGCAACTTCAGTACTGAAATGGCAAGAGACGAGGCAAAATTGGGAACAGAAGAATCTAGGTTGGATAGAGAATGGAGGGTTGATTCTTTTTTAGATCGAACTTTGTATGTTTAGCTGATGAATCAAGAACAGAAGCGGTGATTTCCCAATTTGCAACTTCAGTCTCAGAATGATTAACATGTGCTGGACATTTTACTTGCCTATTTTGCAAACAGCTGCTGCACTCAAGCTCACAGTTCTGTTTTTCCCTGTTCATCTACTTCTGATTGAGCTTTTTGCGTGATTGATATCCATGAGCAGTTTATTCTTGCGTCGTACCACTGAAATTGTTTCAAACTCAGAAAGCAGATGATAGGAATCCGTACTTTCTTCTCTCGGATTAATCTGGAGAATTAAAGTTATGAATGATTGTGTTGAGTTTACCTATTAATTTTTTGGAACTCTTTCTATTGTTAAATTGTAGGGACAGATGAAGTTGTTCGGGACAGTTGTATTTCCAGAAAACAGGTATCTGACATTGCAGTTCTCTAAAGGCGGGAAGAATGTTATGTGCGAGGATTACTTTGATAACATGGTCAGTTGATCCATATCGTTCTCTGTTGCCTCCATCTTGCTCACTCGCTTTTGCCGTCACTGCTTTGACCATTTTGTTCCGGACAGCACGATTTAGCATATTTGTGACCATGGATGTTGCCTGCTGAGTCTTCGAGGGAATTTCCTCTTCTACTTGTTGATTTTAACGAAGCAGTGAACTTCTCTGCGATGTTGCTCTTCTTCCTTTCTCTTCTTCGTACTGAGGTCAAAGCTGGACCATTCATAACCATCTAATCTGATGATTAATATCCTTCACTATTTCTGTACTTAAAGAGGAGTGAGATTGATCTGACAAAGTCTAGGGCCGAATTTGAGTCAATAAGATTTGTAAACTAGGGTATGCTTACTCTATGATACATCTACTGAGCATGAATCTGGAAGTTTTATGTGTTATGACCCTGGCATTTGTCATGGCCCATATAAAGGCAAGAACCCAATACATGTCAGAACTTTATGAAGAAATAATCAATGTTGAATTTGCATATAGCAAATGTTGGACTTATTTCCCTAGCATGAATCTTAAACTGAAAGTTTTATCTGTTGTAACTTGCCTGTGCTGTCACTTGTCACAACTTGTTGACATCTCAAAGCAACTATATATACTGTCCGGAATATTATGAAGTGCAAATCCTCTTGAAAATGGAATTTCGAGTTGAATATACTGAGCATGCCGCGATATCATTTTGCACTTTTCACCTTTAACAGAAATACATGTTACGCCTAAGGCATGACCTTTTTGTCCTTTCTTGATATTGATGATACCGGCAGATTGTATTTTCGGATGCCTGGTGGATTGGGAAAAAGGATGAGAACCCCGAGGAAGCGCGTTTGGAGTTTCCTGAGGAGTTGATTGAGGTTAGTTTTTCTATTCAATCTTTCAAACTTGTCCATTGTCGTGTATTGCATTGGCAAGTTTTCCAACAGATAGAACAGAGAAGCAAGGAAAAAGGGAGAAACATTTGTAGAGAATTACGTGATTGTTCTTTTGGTTTCAGGGCCAACATCTAGAACATGACTTTCAAGGTGGGGCAGGTGGAAGCATTGCAGATAAGCTACCGCGTAATAGAACAGCAAAGAAAATTGCGGAAGACCCCCAGACTCCTAGATCTCCACCTGAAGATGATGCATCAAATGATGACAATGAGTTGAAAGAACCAATGGAAGTGACACCGATTCGCCATTCAGAGAGAAACATGGGAAAAAAGTTAAGGTCAGCCCTTCAGTTATTATCGTTTGAAGTAATTTATACTGCTCTTTCAAAAAAGATGCAAACATCCACTGAATTTCTCCGGTTAGGTTAAGGTGCCAATGCAAGATGATGTGGTTAACTGTTTATCTTGTCTTGATATGGAGTACCTTTCAGTCTCATGCACGGGTTTGGATATACAGAATGAACAACTGATTTGGGTTATGAACTGTTTGGTTTTTCATGAACACTCTTATTTGACCTAGAGAGTTCTAATTGGTAGTTGCAGCATCTCTCTCAGCTTCCGGCATCACAAAGAGCAATAAGACAGTCAACTAGTAGCAAAACTCCTAACCCCAGGAAAAAAGTTCATCATCAAAACCGAATGTACTTTGGCGGATGTGTAGCTTTGTCATATTTTCTTAAATGCATGCTACCTGTTTCAGGAAATTTGGGTTTCCCTTCTCAGTTTAATTGTAATGCATCAAATATATTCAGCTAGTTATTTGTAATTTTTTTAGGAATATTTGATGATAATAATGGCTCTTTTGGAGGTCATGACAAAGTGGGTTCAAGTACACTGGACCCTAGATTGTGCAATTGACGATAAATATCGCATGTATGCATGTTTGTGAAAGAGTTATTGAACCGAACAATAGAGTGTAAATGGTGATTGCTGACTACTAGGCAAGACATTTTATTCCTCTTGTATTGTATTTTAGGTGATCCGCATTCTGGATTTTTCAATCATATGTCTGACTAAGTCGGTGTCTGTACTTGTTGAAAATTCTATTGTTTCTAGATTGAATAAGTTTTCTTGCTAATAATTTTTAATCGTTCAGATATATGGAGATTTCTTCTGGAGATGATTCTATTGGAAGTGATTTGGGTGTGGCTGATGCAGAAGAAGAAAAGGTTGATCTTGAATTCGATTATACAAAACGGAATTTTTACTGTTAGATTTGCTACGATTGTCTTTTTTCTGTTCTTCTATTGCTTGATCCATATGAATATTTTATTGTCATCAGAACCTTATATAAAGCTTGTGTTTGATGCTCTCAATATTGATTACTACAGATTCCAGGTTCCTTATTAGCACAATCTAACATTTACCATCGAGATTCTGTAGAAATGATGGAACAAAGTGAAGACTGTTCTGTATTAGCAACTAAGTCTAAGAAACAGTCTGTTACTTCAACCACGTCAAAGGGAACGTCTCATGCTAGTCATGGTTCACTTGTTCAGGCGACCATCTCTACATTGTTTAAGAAAGTGGAGAAAAAGGTGAGTGTTATAAACATATGTTTGATCAGTGAAAGTGGTCAACCAAGAATTTAGGTATTGTAGTCTTTCCTGCATGTATTAACTATGATAACTAATGAAGTGTGTTGTAGTGCATATGAGACATGCTTTCTTTCTAATCTGCTTTGTATTTTTCTGCTGTACTAGAATAGTCTTGTAGATATCAGAAAAAGGTATATATGAGACATATACTAAGTGCTGCAGTGCTTATGAAGCTCTTTAAGTACTCGCATTGGGTTGCACTTCTTTCCCAAAAAACATTGTTCTTTAATCACGGAAGAAAGGAGTCGCTGTGGCAGGATCACTTACTGTTACTGATCTAATACTGATAGAATAGAAAAGAACTGATCTGTCCACCTTGAGGGTTGCCTTCTCCAATTTTAAATTATTTATTTGCTTTTTGGGAGAATTTCAGATGGATATTTAAAGCTGAGCTATGTTCTTACCCCCTATGTTTTGTTGTCTTAACTGAATTCATATGGGTTATCCATACTTTTTGGGTATGGAACTCCTGTTTTTCACTAAGAAAGCCCTAACCTTTTCCCTATAAGGTACGCTAGGGAATGAGAAATTATTCTGGAGACAGACTATTTCTTGCAGTAGTTGCTTGTATCTTTTCTACAAGTCTTGTGTGCTTAATCTGTTCAAATTTTTTCTGTTAATTTGGTTTTAAAAATCTCCAGCGACTCCAACATGTGACCGGTTTTAGTTGAAACTTTCCCTTTTTTATTGATAGGACCTTCCTTGAAATTAAGGTCAATAGCTGTTATGGTCTCATATGAGACGAGGTTCCTTGCAATTCCTGTTGGCCAGTTTCTAGCAATCTGCTTACCTTTCTGGAAATTCCATCTTTGCTTGAAGCTTCTGTAATGTATAAAAGATCGAAGTTGTATCATGTTTCATGTTAGAAATTCTATAGTTAGACCAATAATCTGCATAATATTCAGGCCACAGTTTTCTCACAGAGCTCTGCTATTTCAGAATGGACCAGAAAAGCAGGAGAAATCTCGATCAGTTACAGGTTTCGATAACTTCCTGATTGCTTCTTCTTGGCTATAGGATGAGGGAAAAACTAGGATCCTAATGGAAACAAATCTGTGATTTTGTTCAGTTTCTGGGAAGAAATCAAGGAAGACTGAATCAAAGAGGAAATTTGATCAGGTGAGAGAGCCAAACACAAGCCATCTTCATTTTAACTTTCTGATGCACCTTCCCTTTTTTGCCTAAAATGCTGCACCTTCCTTGATAGTATTTATATTTTGTTAATGAGGCTATTAACAGTTCACTAAATACTGATTTACATCTGCTTTGTGTTATTCTAGTCTCAGGAGGGATGGATAAAAAAGAGAAAAGTGACAAGAGGAAAAGAAATCAGTGGTTAGTCTTCTCTCTCCCTGTGCCCTCCCTCTTTGTCATCTCCTGCTTTCCCGGGGTGGGCATATGCTTTCAATCCTTTTGTTTGGCTGGTCCATATATCTTTAGGTGAAAGATGATGACTTCTGTCTATAAAGGAGTACAATGTCCAGCCGACCTGATCAGAGGGCCATAATTGTCCAAAGTGATGAAAATAGGCGGAGGACATGTGAACCAGACATCTTTGCTATGAAAGTCTTAAAAGGGGACAATGTCTATCTAGTCAAACCAGCTAACTCCCATGCATGCATCAAACCAAGTTTAACTTCCTGCATGATAACATTATTTGCCTGGCCTTCCTGAAGAAGTCTAAAAAGTAAGATTTGACATTTTTAGAAGCATAACTGGTACCCTGACATTTCATGATATATATCCTGTGTTATCTGGCTTATGTCTATCTTGTGAGTATCAACTTTATCCATAAACACTCACTGTATCCAACAAGTTGTATCATACAAGTGGGCCAGCCAACAGCCAAATACGTAAGGGATAAATATGGGGATGAGTGGTTCCAGTCTTCCAGATACATGACAAAACCCTAACCATCAGCTGACTTCATAACATCTTCTTTTTATGGTGCTAATAGTAGCAGTGGAATCCATGCATATCATACTAACTAATATAAATCTCAATTTTTTTTCTCTCTTCCTACATGATGCTCTTGTGGTTCTCCAGAGAAAGCTTCCAGGGAGAGTTGAAAATGTTGACTTGTTCTGTCGATGGGATTATGTTGCCATTAAATTGTTGAGAAGTCTGTTACTCTAGCATGAGAGAGGAAAATGACCCCTTTTTTTTTATAAGATAATAATTTACCAATAGAGAAAAAGGTTCAAGGACATGAAAATATTTGGTTCCAATATGCCCTGCTAATAGCCATTGTTTGAACTTGCATGTGCTGTCTAATTACCTAAATAGGCGCAGGCAAACCAAACTAAAAGTTACATGAGCCGATGATACTCAAATATTCCCCTTTAATTGAAGTGAGCACCCAGAGCAAACTGAATGATAATTTCAGTACTCTATGTGAAGCTAGAAGTGTTTTTCAATATATCCAGAGCGTGCCTGTATAGATTTCAACAGCTCCAACCTATTGGCCAAGAATGATCCCTCTCCCTGGGTAGAAAACTTTAGATGAAGACTATTGAACAGATCAGTCATCCATGTTTTCTGACATCCCTCCATTCATGTAGCCAACAAGCAAGGATTATTGGAAAAAAAGAGGGGCACTGGGGGTTCAAACTTAGTATTGTGTGATGACAGATAAGTTGGTCATCCTAATTAGGAGCATGCTGGCAAAGATGTTTTTGACAAGAATACACATGCAAAGTTCCTCAACCTCTTTCTAACAATTTTCAAAAGATGCTTAATGGAATGAATTCATGAGAAGTCTCCTCCTCAATCCATCCAATTGTTTTTACGTGATAGGGAATGCAGATTTAAGGTCCTTGGACATTTCTGATGGCACTGATTTGAATTCCAGAATCATGGGCCTAATGGATGTCTCGACCATGTGTTTGATTACTCTTTTAATAGTGAGAGACTGTCAGCCATTAATTGTTGAATTTGAAATTGCAGTGCAAGAGATCCAGGCAAAAAATGAAGATTTCGAGGTAAACTGTACAACCATTAGGATTTTGTATTCAGTTTGATGGCTTCTCGTATTTCTAATTACTATAGTTATGCCTTCTGTCAGTCTCATCAGTTGTCATTTGTTATATTTGAATGCTCGCATGTATAGTTGCAAAAGTGGTTTATTTGTTAAGCAGGAAGCTCTTAGAAATGCATTCTGAAATTATGAAAAGAAGGCATATGAGAGAGAGGACTTGTGACAGATTGGGCTGCAGACAGTAGCTTGTTTGGTCAAAATGTATAAAGGTTGGAATGTTTATACTGTCAATCAAGGCAAAAGGCCAATGTCTGTAATGTAGCTGTGCGTGCTCTAGTTCCACATGTTTGAGATTCCTTCTTGTTTATATACCGAGAAGATTGATGAGTCGTCAGTTGTGCAACCACGGTAGATGCCCATAGGAGCATACTTTTAGAAGCCTCTTGTTCCATGTGATGGTTGCAATTCATTTATGTCGGCAGAGGAGAGATTAGATGGTCATTAAACGGTCCAGCATGCGAATTAGTAGAAACTCTAAGCTCCCGATTGCTGTTTGGTGTGTTGATCTGGTTAAGGTTTAGCTAGTTCATCCTAAAGTTCATGATGATTGCTATTTATTGGATTTGACATTGACATGTTCTATCATGGGAAAGGGCTTAACTTTCGTAATCTTGCAAATGATAGTTTCTATGCCATAATCCATCTTTACTTTCACTAAAGATGTCAGCTTTTTCCACATTCAAATTTGGCCACTATCGGCTTGCCATTTGCCAAAGGAATGAATCTTGTATCATCATGAGATTCATCTTTCGCCACCATTAGAGAACTAGCTAATGTTGTCCTAGTAAAAACCACAACAAGCTAATATAAGTAACTGTTGTAGGTTGAAGAGGACCCCATTGAAGAGTCATCAAGCGCATCACAGGTACTATTTGAATCGGATGGAATTAATGAAGCATTTTGTTTCCTTACTTTCAACATAAAGCTTTTGATGTTAGCCCTGATTCTATGGGAACATCATTTTGACAGCAATCTGAAAAGTGCTGATAGGAAGCTGGAAATTGTAGATTTGCTGGCACAAGTTTTACTTACCTTACTTACCCTTCATCTCTACGACGTTTGACGAGATGAATTGAGAATGTAGATCTATGTTGTCTGGGCACTCAATAATTTCTTCTCTTTTTTTCATTCAGGACGCTGAAGGAAGTGATGCAGAGTGGACTGCTTGAGATCCTAAAGTGACTACACTTTGTTGCCCAAGGCATGCTTATTCGAAAACATTCAGGCGCGTCCCTTGATTCCTCTCGGATGTCTATCTTCCACAGTATCCCACACAGCCAAAGCATCGCTGCATTAGCCATAATAGCCATAACCATAGAGTTTCTTTTCTTCCATCTTTTGCTTTTTTCCTATAAACCAGATTCTTTTCCTCCAACTTGGGAAAGGTCGTCTGATAGAACTAGCGACCAATTTTTTTTTATTATTGTTAAAGCATAATTATTTACTATGTAAATCATATACGCAAGCTGTACACTTCTATGACCGGAACACTTTTACGGTACATCGATATTGTTTATTATCAAATTGTTGATTTGGATGACACTGATTGGCAAAAAGATTAAACTAATTAAAATGAATTCCAACTGTCCAACAATATCATTATATTGAATTGGTTCCGTCCAGTTCAATTTTTAGAACGCCGCGAAAATTAATTTGTCTTGAAGAGCAACATTTAGCTCAAGTTCTTCGTGGGTTGTCCTCGGAGTCTCCGAGGTTGACCCCGACATGTTACTGGCATGGCGTCGAACGAAGCTGCCGTCAGGGCCCTCCAACTCCTCCACCATCAGTCCCTCTCTCAAGCCCTCAACGCCTTCACGAGGCCGTCCCACCTCAGGCAGGCCCACGCGCACCTCGTCGTCGCTGGCCTCACGCGCCGCCTCTTCACCGCCACCCGCCTCCTGGCCTGCGCCGCCATCTCTGCCCTCCGCGACCTCCCGTACGCGGAGGCCATGTTCCGCCGCGTCGAGGCGCCCACCTTCTTCATGTACAACACCATGATCAGGGCCTTCTCCGAGTGCCCCGGCCATGATTGCCTCGAGGGCGTCGCGTATTACGTCCGAATGCTCCGGAACGGCGTTTTCCCCGATAACTTCACGCACCCTTTTGTGTTGCGGTCGTGCTCGCTGTCGTCGCAGCTGCTGCTCGGCAGGCAGGTTCACGCCCACGTCGTGAAATTTGGGTCGGGTCGCGACATTTACGTTGTCAACAATATGCTAAGTATGTACTCGAGCTGTAGAGAGATGGGGAATGCGCGCCACCTGTTTGAAGAATGTTCCGGGCTCGTGGATGTTGTTTCCTGGACTAGTTTGGTCACGGGGTACGTGAAGGCTGGTGATATCGATGTGGCCCAGTCTTATTTTGAAAGGATGCCACGGAGGAATGTCGTTTCATGGAATGCCATGATTTCAGGGTATGCACGGTCAGGAAGAATTTCTGACGCAAGGAAGCTCTTTGACATGATGCCCGAACGTGATGTGTCGTCATGGAGTGCGATGATTTCTGGCTATGTTCAGTGCAAGATGTGTGCAGATGCATTGGGGCTTTTTAAGGAGATGGTTGGAGGAGGAATTGTGGCCAATGAGGCTGCTGTTGTGAGTGCAGTTTCCGCCTGCGCACAGCTTCGCGCGATTGATTGGGGAACTTGGCTCCACGAGTATACAGTGGAGCATGGGTTCGAGATGAATGTGATCCTGGGCACTGCGCTTGTAGATATGCATGGCAAGTGTGGAAATGTTGCGAAAGCTGTTGAAGTGTTCAATTTGATGCCTGAAAGGAATGTCTGTTCGTGGAATTCTATGATTGCTAGCTTGGCCTTGAATGCACGTGGAAAGCAGGCACTCTCATTGTTCTGGCAAATGCAGCGTGTGGGTCACACTCCGAATCACATAACATTCACTGCCGTGCTAAGTGGATGCAGTCATTCAGGGTTAGTCAAGGAGGGTCGTCAAATTTTTAGTCTTATGACAGAAGAGTATCAGCTTGAACCTTGGTCAGAGCATTATGGTTCGATGGTTGATTTGCTAGGGCGAGCTGGGCTCATAAGGGAGGCGGTGGAATTTGTTAAGGGGATGCATATTGAGCCTCATCCCGGCTTATGGGGAGCTCTTGTTGCTGCTTGTAAGATTCATGGAGAGATTGAGCTAGGTAAACAACTTGGGAAACACTTGATTGACTTGGAGCCGGATCATGGTGGGCGGTATGCTTTATTGTCAGATCTATTTGCATCTGTTGAACGATGGGATGATGTGGAATTGGTGAGGAATTCGTTTGTACAAAGGAAGGTGCTCAAGGCCCCGGGAAATAGTATCATTGAGTTATGAAGATAATCTCTTTATCTTTTTTAACTACCTTCCCAAGAAGCCTGTTTCTAAGGGCATACATAAAACGAAAGGAAACGGGATTTCAGCCCCGAGTTTAGGCCACTTAACAATCTAAAATCAGATGGCATTATATCTCCTCATTATCCTCCGGCGCCTCTTCAAGGTAATTGCACAAAACCACATTGCATATCAATGCTATCATCAAACATAATGGGGAGGTATCGTGTTACACAGTGAAAAGATTTTGATGCTTCATTGTAATAAAAACATAAACTTTTTAGTTCATCGGTCTTATTATTGCCAATGCTGATGCCCTTTATGATCCAATAAACTCAGTTACCGTGGTATGGTGCCTTAGAGATGATAGTCACGAGCTATGCATATCTTAATTGAAGAGCTTGTGCCTTTTATTGCAAACCATACAGCACATTTTGGAAACTCTTCTTGAAAGACCCCACTACTTCAAGTTCTAGCTGAGCTCCAACAGCATTCCAATCAATGCCCAACTCTTCAAGGATATGGTAAGTGCATTCAGCCTCAGATACATTTGCATCAATAGTTTTTGAGACAATTCCATGGTGCAAGAATGCTTTTAGAGCTTCATCTGGCATGGTCGAGATCTGCAAAATACACCGACCAATCACTATTAGCACCTTCAATTACCTTCACTACCATTTCTGCTACATATATGCTTGAAATGGTCAATTATGGTTTGCACTTCACAGTAAGAGATGCTCACTCACTGTGTTTGGCCCTATCAGGGGATTAATGTAGGAAGTATGATGGATCCTTAACATTTATTGAGGCCCAAAGGAACTTCTGCTTCTTGGTATCTCTCTTCATCAAAGCTTCATATCGTGGTATGTAGAACTTTTTCTGAAAAAGCTTATATGCTAAAGTGGCTTGCACTACCGCAGCCCGAGGTTCAATTGAAAGTGAGAAAGAAAGGGTTGGACTTGCATATAAAAGATAACTCAGCCATCATATTTCGGATGCACATACCTTTCCTCTGAGCGTAAGTGCCGGGAGGTACCGATTTCTTCAAGCTTCTGATCAATGAGGGTATCAACCCTTGTGACCCTGGAAAGATCTATAAGCCTTGACGCCTCAAGTCCATCCAGATAAGCATCAATAATCGCTTCATACGTGGAATATTATCTGTCGAACCATTGGATGGTTGTGCCGTAAGAACTTCAAGCAAGAGTAGATGCTATAATAGTTAATTTGTCCTATTTGGCGAAGCTATTCTATGCAGACCATGTAAACAAAAGTACAAGGGGTCTTTTTAGGATCCATTGTCAAAAAATGCGGTGGATGTATTTTGGCTATTTAGAGCAGATGTAGCCAAACTTTTATTGATCGTCATATAGACAAATTACCAGCAATACCAGTGTGCTGAGCAAGTGTGATTTTAACCACTCTGGGGAGAATCAAATTAGTGGAGTTACTTAGGCTGCGCATGACAACGATTCTGTGCCCGGGAACAGATTATGCTCAGAAATGATTCTTTTTTATTTTGTGCCCGGAATTGATTCTGAGCATTTTAAGGCGTTTGTTAACGGTCCAAAATTCCATCCCTGGAATAGAAAAAGAACAGAAATGCGTTTGGTAACGCTACAAAATTTCTTTTTATTAATAATATTTTAAAATATTTTAATATTTCTTTCTTTTTTTTCTTTTCTTTTTTTCGTTTCCTTCTTCTTGGCCATGGCCTGCTCGCCGGCCATGATCGGTAAAATATTTTTTTATTAATAATATTTTTATTAAAAGTGTTTTTTTTCTTTTTTTTTGCCATGGCCTGATCGCCGGCCATGACTGGTAAAATATTTTTTTTGGCCATGGTTTGGTTGCTGGCCATGGCCGGTAAAATATTTTTTTATTAATAATATTTTTTATTAAAAATATACATTTTTATTTTTTTGGGCCATGGCCGGTAAAATATTTTTTTATTAAAATATATATTTTATTTTTTTTTGTCATGGCCTGATCGCCGGCCATGGCTGGTAAAATATTTTTATTAAAAATATATATTTTTTCTTTTTTTTGGCCATGGCTTGATCGCCGGCCATGGCTTGTAAAATATTTTTTTTATTAATAATATTTTTATTAAAATATTTTTATTAAAAATATACATATTTATTTTTTTTGGCCATGGCCTGGTCGCTGGCCATGGCTGGTAAAATATTTTTTTTATTAATAATATTTTTATTAAAAATACATTTTTTTCTTTTTTTGCCATGGCCTGGTCACCGGCCATGGCGGGTAAAATATTTTTTTTATTAATAATATTTTTTATTAAAAAAATATTTTTTTCTTTTTTTTGGCCATGGCATGGTCGCCAGCCATGGCCGGTAAAATATATATATATTTTTTAATAATATTTTTTATTAAAATATTTTATTCTCGTCAGATCCGGCGAGGGCGGTCCTCGGGCCGGACATTAAAAGCTACATTACAAACCAAGAAAAGGAAGAAGAAAAAAAATTGATTCTCAAAATTGTTCCCAGAATAAAGAAGCTATTTTTTTTTTATTCTTGAAAACTGATTCTGGGAACAATTTTTGACAAAATTGTGCCCAGAATCAAAAAATTAAACAAACGCATTTCTGTTCCCAAACTGATTCTGGGAACAAAAGAACAGAATCAAACACTGTTTGGCAAGTTGTCATACGTAGCCTTAGTTGCTTGAACTTAGTGTTGCATTTACACATATGCTATGTGAAATTACTTCCTTGATTGAAATGATAGATTCTGTTGTTCCAGGGATCTTGATGCATATGTTTGGGCAGTTTACCATTTCACAAAGTCTTTTTGCCTCCTCAGTTGTCCGTCGAGTATCATAAGCAAGCATGAGTGAAACCTCAATGGAGACATAGCCATCTTCTCCATCTGTATCAGCATAAATGGGTTGAAAAAGTTTGCATGCTTCTCGAGCATCGTCGACAACCATTTCCCATTATGCACTTTCAACATCCTTCTTTGCTTGTAAGAGTTCCCTGGATCAGCTCATGTTTTTGTTAGTAAGAAACAGTCTCTTTATTACAGGCTGACATCTTCTAAGTTGCAAACTTTAATTAGTGGATCGTTCAGAATTCATCGTGACACATTAAAATACCCTCTTTTGGCTCTCTAAACTTTTTGTATGGAGGTGTAAGCAAAGAGTGATTAGACAGCGCAGCTGCCTGCAAAAGGCGGTGATTGGCCTCTCCAAAGTGACTGCATGTACGGGTCATTTAAACAACTGGTGTAGAAAGTTATGGTGCCAAATACATGTTAGAATTGAGTTACCTTTTCTCACAAGTTGCCATCTATTTGGCAAATTATAGAGCAAGTATTATAACTTATGGGGACAGAAATGGAGCATAAAGCCTTTAACCAGCTCCTTACCTGAATTGCGAGTGATAAGCGTCTGATGACAACATAGCTCTTCATTAATTCTGCAGCCATATTTCATGCATAGTTAGAGCAGCAAACTCCAATGTCAGTGGCTTCTTCAACAGTTCAAGTTGTGTTTAGTAGTTACCGCATGATTAGTAGTTACACACGTCTGATTCCGTTAGCAATCAGTGCAATCAAATCCGTGACTGGTCGTCTCATGTTGTCGTACCAAGGGCTTTGGCCTTGGTCGTCGCACAGATGATGCAGTGTTGTTCTCTTTGTTTGGTTCCCAGTGCCGCCATCGAGGGAGCAACTGATCATGCATAAACATGGAAAGCAGACATTTAATGGACAGTAATCGGAGTGTCGATAAGTGTCAAAATCCAGTTGGTAAAAATAAAAGATCGGTAACTAATTTTTTTTTTCTAGGTAATTTGTTGATGATTCACCAACACCTATGTGAAAATTACAGACTGTTTTTGTCGGGGAAAAGTGTTGAAAAAGCCATAAACCTTTTGTATTGATGTCAATTTAGTCCTAAATCTTTTTTTGGTGCCAATTGAGTCCTAAATCTTTTGTTTTTGTACCAATTCAATCTTTCCGGCTAATTTTGGTGACATGGACGACGCTGGCTGGTCTACATGATGCTGCCGGCGCTAACATAGACAATCTTTAATAATATTTTAATATTTTTTGCGATTTTTTAATTATTCTTCTGATTTTTTTCTATTTTCCTTCTTTTCTTTTTCTTTCTTCTTTCTTCAATCTTTGGCCGGTGACCGGCCACCCCAGCCATGGCGGGGTCAGCCGGCCTCACCTGGGCGAGGGCGTCCCTAGTGAGGGGAGCCCTCGCCTAGGCAAGGCCAAGTGAGGGTTGGCCTCGCCCACTCCCAGGCCAGATCTGGCGAGGTTGGCCCTCACTGGGGCACGCCCTCGCCCAGGCCAAATCTAGCGAGGTTGGCACTCGCCCGGGCCACGGCGGCCTTGCCTCACTCGGCAAGGCCATCGTGGCCTGGACGAGGGCTCCCCTCGCCGGGGACGCTCTCGCCTAGGTGAGGCTAGCTAACCCCGCCATGGCCGGTGGCCGGCCATGGTTGAAGAAAGAAGAAAGAAAAATAAAAGAAGGAAAAAAGAAAAAAATCAGAAAAAATAATTAAAAAATTGAAAAAAATTAAAATATTATTAAAAATTATTTACGTTAGTGCCGACGGTGCTACGTAGGCCACCTGATGTCCACGTCAGTAAAATCTGGCCAAAATTAGCCAGAAGAACTGAATTGGCACAAAGAGAAAAGATTTAGAACTCAATTGGCACAAAAAAAAAGGTTTATGACTAAATTGTCATAAATACAAAAGGTTTAGGACTTTTTCTAACACTTTTTTCCCTTTTTTGTCTATGGTTTCTAGAGTAGCAATTTTTTGTAATAACTTACTAATTTTCATTTGCGTAACTTACCATCATTTTTGAATTTACTGAGTGTTGTATGAATTACCAACTTAAGTTAGAATGATTTGCCAACTTTTGTCAAACTAAAGTACTGGTTAATTTTAAGTCACCAAATCTAATTTGAGGTATTTCTCGATATATATATTTTTTATCTATTTACCAAATTTTAATTGAGTTACTAACCGTTTTATTGGGTTAATACCATTAAAATCTTAAATTAGTGTCCATGATATATTTACCCCAAACTAATTGAAGTCTCGAACTGATTTTTATTTGGTTAAGACCATAAATCTTGCTAAAAATCTTTGTTTGGGTGGAGTGACCAGTCCATCAGGTTGATTTCACATAACAAAGATTCACCAAATTGACTTTTCATATTTTATATGAGAACTAGACTGGGTAAAGATATGGATAAGCAGAAACAATGGGTAGATACTCCATCAAAGTTTCAATTTGAAGTTCCAAAATGAAAAAGGAAAAATTGCTCCATAACATTCTGAAACAGACATAATTTTTGACTTGGCAAGGGCATTGATTGCTCGTATGCACGACAAAATTAACAGAACTTCACATGAATTGTGCACTTAATTCGTGTATCTATCCATTGCACATTTCACACGAAGACTTGAAAAATCACATGAATTGTGCACTTAATTCGTGTATCTGTCCATTGCACATTTCACACGAAGACTTGAAACAACTTTGATGAGTTCATGGGCCTTCTCCGCTGCTTGTCACGTAAGGGAAATATGGCAACAGCCCTTGACTTGATTGTTTCTCTCTAACTAGGCTTGAACATCTCCAAACAACAATATCAGTAAAGGCCAACATTAACTTATGCTATGAATTATACTGATGACCATGCTTTATTCTCTTCAATCCAGAACCTGACTTTCTTGATTCTAAAATCCCATCCAACTACATTGAGAAAATAAAGTAAACTGGAACATTCATATAAACATTGTCTGCTAAAATTCCCATAAACCCATCTTTTGCACTTGACTCATGAGCCCTTCTTCAGGAAGTCGTCAACTCTGCCCTGGACAAGAACTTCATGCAAATCGGCGGCTTCACGCCTGCGAGGGCGAGTATGGAGCTCGGTAGAGTCCATATGCCATCCCCGCAAATCATTCCCGAGGCGACCGCTGGTCCAAATGCATCGGCCTTGGCCTTGTCGATCCTCTCCCACAAGTACAGAATCAGGCTACCAACGCACATGTCGATAGCAAAATACGATCCCAAGTAAAACGGTATTGCCATGGCCATCGGGAGCGGGATAAACCTGGAGTACTTCTTGGGGACTGAGTCTCTGATTGCATTTATGACTACTGCGGCCGCAAAGAATCCATAGCAAAGAGTGAGGCAGTGTTTGGGCAATGACGAAAATCCCTCCACTCCCAATATAGCCATGCTCCGATAGATGCTGGCATAAGGGGCGGGGTACGCGCTAGTCTTGAGACCTAGGTCCTTAAATGCTTTGTAGAACAGCCAGAAGACACACGGAGATATGACACAGCCCATGGCAGTTCCGATCACCTGACTCACAAACATGGACCGAGGGG